AAAACACCAAGAAGTGGGATCGCTACCAGCAATGGGGATTCATGCATGATGACATCTTGTGTGTCATGATGAGAATGGCCCCTAACAAGAAGCAAAACAAAGAACCACAACAAAAACACCAGGGGCCAGGTCAGAGGGTGTAAGAAGCAACAAAGCTCAATGCAGAAACCAGGTGTGAAAAACGTAAACCCAAGTACACCTCTCGTGTACCCAAATCAACGCTTTCGTTATCCCACTACGCCAGACGCAAACACCTACTGTGGTTGCGGCCCCGCAGTTACTTACTTCTCTGCAATGTCAAAATAAAGGAACTTGTTCCACCCTGACTCCTAAGTGCACGTCAGACTCCTTCTTTTCTCTCCAGACGCCACACACACAACGGAAACAGGTCAACAGGAACCAAGGCAGGCACACGGCCACAAACCAAAAGGAGAAGAACCAGTGTGGCTACAATTTCATATGCCCTAGGTGACACTGCAGTTCAGTTCGCTTCGGAACACTTGACACCACTCCCTTGAGCCGATGTCTCAACTGGGAAACTCGATTCCAGGTTTCCAATACACAACCTTCCTTCAAAGGTTGTTGAAACAATTCCAAACTGCTATGATATACAAATCACCTAGTCGCAAAACGTCAGAAACATTTCCAAAAGTTCTCAAGTCAAACTGGTTCTCATCCAAACGCAAGTAACCAGCTAGCCGGTGTTACTAGTCTCTACGGAACGTCTAGACTAGTTACACGGCTATTCAAGAACGAAATGATTCATTCAAATTCCTTTACAAAATCCTCTTGCAATACAGAACAACATGGAACCTCCTGTTCCATCTCCAAAACAGTTCTTCACACAGAGATGTCTTCTCATAGCTCCAAACTACCGTGGAGAACAGAATGTTCTGCTCGACTTCTCAGCTAATATCCAGTCATCAGCAGTCATAGCGCTAAAATAGTTCGCTCACCACAATAACCAAACGTCAGCAATAAGTCACAAAGACAAAGGTCACAAAGCAGACTTCCAGATCAAATACCCAGAGGTTGACTACTATACGTAGGCATTGTCTTCTCAATGCCGGAGTATCAGACTTCCAGATCAAATGCCCAGATGTCGAACACTATGCGTAGGCATTGTCCTTACAACGCTGAAATATCAGACTTCCAGATCACATACCTAGATGTCGAATACTATACGTAGGCATTGTCCTCACAATGCCGAAGTATCTCACATACTCGCAAGAGGTAGTCAAAGGGCTTCACAAACCTCTCAGATGTTTGAAGCAACGTCAAGAATCGAAATGGAGGTTCCAAAACCATCTCCGTCAGATTCACACTCCCACAAGGAGTCAAGAAATCTCCGAGATCGATGAAACCACATCATCCCGACTCAACTGTCTAGCGAATGCTTCTGAAAGCATTCGTCCACTGTCATAAAGCTAAATAACGCTTCAAACTGTATTCAAAGGAGAATCGAACTCCAAGTAGATTCACTTAGACTCACAGGTCGATATCTCAAATCATCTCATGCAGCTTCTTATACCACAAAGCAATATCGAAACTACTTATGTCTGATGCAGACACCTTCCCATAGTCCAGTTTCACCACTGAAGGCTCAATGAAAGTCAGGTCGCACCAATGCCAAGTTGCAACCCATAAGGGGTACAAACTTCCACACCCCCTTCGACATGACATTCATTTCTCTCTATACATACTCAAATTCATATCCAGTATGAACTTCGCCATACCTTCAAGGTCAAATGTGTAGAATACGTCGTATTCGCCAGGAGACTTCTAGTGACGTGCATATATAGCTATACGGCGGGACCAGATTTGGCGCCAGGAGGCCGCTTACCCCCTGCCTCCTGGCGGTCATTTTGTGGTTGCGGGAAACTCATTTTGTTCTATTCAGGGGTCTTTTTTGGGCTGCGGGAATCTCATTTTTTCGTATTCGTGATTCTTTGGAAATGGCGCGATGGATCCTTATTGATTCTTGTCCCCGTGTATGATAGATACCATGTAATATTAAGCATACCAATCCCAAAAAATATACTTTCTCAACAAGGTAGGTATATGCCAAATGTCCCAATATTAATCGATAGTTTTGTGTTTGTAGTAGGGATAGATATCAATAACCGGGTCTAAATCTATCTATATCTATATATATATATATGGTATACGGTTATACGTGCATGTGTGTGTGTCCTTATATCTGCACCTGTGTTCCAAGATGCTCCCCGTCTCATGTCCGCATGGCCATTTCTCATGGGAGTGCGCCATACAGATTCCAGTGAAGCCGCCCTAAGTTCTTAGAGTGGCAGCTGAGATGTTAAATCCTTGCTGTCGTTCCCTCGAAAAGAAATGAGCAACATTATGGTTGGTCTACCTCCTGTCGGTAACTGCTTTCTTTTTAGCTCATTTTTTTTGTCGGAAGCGATGTATGTGCCACAGCGCTCCCAACCTCAGCCACCACCACAACTGACACTGACATGGGACACAACAGACAGGTGAAACCGCCAACGTGTCTGTAGCTCATGTGAAAAGTGAATGCGCTGCAGAATCTTGTTGCAGAAACAACGCAACAGCACACTGAGGCACTCTGGCTGAAAACTTTTTTTGGCAACCACGGACAGATGGGCCTAGAGCTCCGGGGTTTGCGCTAAGTGGACAGACTCCTCAGACTCTGTCTTTGCTAGAGGTTTTCTCTAGCCAAACATCATTTTTACAGTTGAATTTCTTCAACTTCCTGGGGCTGATGCGGAAACCTACACAGAACGTTCAATTCAGGGCGGCCAAGTTCAGTAGTATCACTCCTCATTTGGCTAAAATCACCTTGGGCATTCAAAAAGTTAACGCGTTTCAGTTTCCAGCTCTGTGTCTGGCAAGCGAGGAGGAAAGGCCTATTCCAAGAAACAGAAACACACAAAAAAAATGGGAATCTGTAGCGGCGTAAAGATAAAGCAACAAAGGGACTGGAACTTCGAACTTCTCGCTAGTATCTGTGCAGCGCATGGGGCCCTTTATCCTACCCTACTTCAAAAGGTGCTTTGCACCAGCGAGCAGCTTGCGATTCACCTGCTCAGCTTTCTTCTGATCCTTGCTTGCGGGAACTACACGCCATTCCAACCCAGCCCGACTCATCTCTGCACGGCGTGCTGCAATTGCAGCACCAAAACCAACAGGCTGCGGCTGCTGTGAGTCAGCATCAGCATCTTCCTCTGTTGCTCCTTTTGGCTTCTTGGGAGAAAACTTGATCAGGGGCAGCAAAAGATCGTCGGGCTCAGATGTCTTGGCTGTCACCAACTTGCAAACCACAGCCGGAATAGGGACCAGCCTCAAAGCAAGACGAGGAGCACTTGCGGCGAAAGGCGAACACACAACAAGGAGAAAAGGCACAAGAGGACGAAAAAAACACAGACATTGGTTTGAGCAACAACAATCCCCAAAAAGAAAACAGCACCAAACAGAGAACAGCAAACAGAGACAGAGACCAGCAAGAACAAGAACAACAAGAACAAAAACAACCAAAAAACAACAACAACAACAACAGCAACAACAACAACAAACCAACAACAACAACAACAACAGCAACAACAACAACAACAACAACAACAACAAGAACAAGAACAACAAACAACAAGAACAAGAACAACAACAACAACAACAACAAAAACAACAACAACAACAGCAGCAACAACGACAACAACAACAACAACAACGACAACAACGACAACAACGACAACAACGACAACAACGACAACAACGACAATAACGACAACAACGACAACAACAACAACAACAGCAGCAGCAACAACAACAAACAACAAACAACAAACAGCAAACAACCAACAACCACCAACCACCAACCACCAACCACCAACCACCACCACCAACAACAACAACAACAACAACAGCAACCGCAACCGCAACAGCAACAGCAACAGCAACAACAACAACAACAGCAACAACAACACCAACACCAACAGCAACAACAACAAAAACAAGAAGACAAACAACAACATCAACAACAACAACAACAACAACATTCAACAACGACAACGACAACAACAACAACACTAAGAGCAACAACAACAATAACAAGAGCAACAACAAGAACAACAACAAGAAGAAGAAGAACAACAACAACAACAGCAACAGCAGCAGCATCAACAGCAACAGGAACAGGAACAGCAACAGGGACGACAACACCAACGACAACAACAATCTTATCAACATCAACATCACCATCATCAACATCATTACTCATCACCATAATCATCATTGTCATCATCATCTTCTTCATCGACAACAGCAGAAGCAGCAGAAGCAGAAGCAACACTACAACCGTCGCCGTTGCCACCACAACCACCATCATCGACCAGCACCCACGACCACAGCCACAACCACAATCTCAACCACAACCTCAAGTGCGACAACCACAGCAACCACAGTAACCACAGCGCCCGCAACGGCCAACAACCAACAGAATCACAACCACAACATACCACGACCGACCCAAACCACCATAGCCAGAACGACAGCAACCACATCCACAACCATGACGATGACAGCAACAACGCAACAAAGCGATTAAACAAACGGCACAAACACGCTATCAATAAACACATTACGAGCCAACACACAAGCAAACTATAAGTGTATAGTATATTCAACTATTTCGCTAAGGAAAACAACAAAAAGCAACCAACAAGCGAAGCACCAACAAAAACGGCCAACTTTTGAGAAAACAAGCGAGCAACAACTTTAGACAACTAACAAACCCACAAATCCACAAACCAAAGCCAAAAACCAACACCACCACGACGACGACGACGATGAGGATGAGGAGGACGAGGAGGACGAGGACTATATGACGACAACGACGACAACGACGAGGAAGAGGAAGAAGAAGAAGAAGAAGAAAAAGAACAGCAAGAACAAGAATAAGAATGAACTTGGCTAGCTTGAAACCAGCATCAGTCATCAGTACTACTGACGGTCACTGTTTTCTTTCAAAGAAGAACTGGATTATTGTCCAAGACTGGGAACTTCCGGATTCGCAGTTTCACAACGATTTGCTCCTTGCCCTTGCCATCGTCATCACCCCCGGCGGACGTGTCATCGGCGCGTGTCACGTCCAAAGTTTTGGAAATTGCCTGAGTCGAGGCCAAGACAAAGAATGGGTATGTTTTTTGTTGTAAGTTGTAAGTGAAAACCGCTTCGACATGCTACTGCTACAAAGTGATCTCAAATACCGTACCAAAAAATCAGAGGTACAATCGTGATCTCTTCAGAATCCTCGGTCCCCGTGGCCTTGTCACTCTTGGGAGTCACAGCTGCCGACCACGCAGGCACTATGACGTTGCTACAAAGAGTTGGCGTCGGAACAGGGTTGATGTAGAAATCGATGTTGAAAATCTTTCCGATGTGCAATGACTGGCTACTTTTCATCACGGAGATCGGACCCACAAAGTGCAAAGCAATGTCCTCGCGGTCCAAAATGGCGATCTTGGCGTTTTGCTTTCCATCCTTCACATAGTTCAAGTCCACAAGAACCCGCTGGCCGTCAAGCTGCTTGTTGAAGATGCCAAGCTTGGCTTTTCCTCCAGCAGCAATTGCGTCAGCTTCGTCTTGAGCAGACCCAAAGTTCCACTTTAGGACCGAGTGCACCTTGGTCGCAGTGGCAGACGCAGCAAACCAAGTCCACAGGTAAGCTTCCAGGTTTGCTTCAAGCCTCTTCATGTCCACGGAATTGATTTGGCCCTTCTCAGTGCCAAACAATAGCCGGTACTCCTCGGACTTTTCGACCAAGCTCATGCCACTATCGAAGATCTCGTTCAGATACATCCTGGACCGAATCTCGGTCACGGCAACCTTCTGCCCAGCATCTGCTTCTTCTGCGCTGGCTTTTTCAGATTCTCCCTGGGCTCCCTGACCATCTTCGTCATCATCGGCTTTTGGGACCTCAAGCTTCTGAAGCTCATTTGCAACCCCTCCTGGCGCAAAGACTTTCAAGAAACTGTAGGCCCCCTCTGTGGTTTTCGTATCAAGCAGGCTTGCCCAGTTCGCTGCCCACGTTTCGTTGCCTCAAGCCAGGCGTGCTGAGGGCTTGTTGGCGAGTGGTGTGGAATCATAATATGCACAAGTTTGGGCTAAACCAGACCTAAACCTATCACGCCTATCAAATCCTCTGAAGTTTGGCGCCAGAAATTGCCCTTGCCAGCCCAAACTGAGCAGGAGCAAAGAAAACAGGCAGCTTGTTAAGGATTATAAATGTTGAACAAGTCTGCAAGGGATGGCTGCTTTACTCTTACACTCTTGACAATGCATGTGCCTTTGGAAGCTGGAGCAAATAGCAAGCAAGTGGCTTTGCAAAACATCAAAGCTGGACACCAATGGTGCGACTGGATGTGGCTTGCTGATGTTCTTCAATGCTTCCTGAAGGAGCCCAGCTTCACTTGCAACATTGGACTCACCTGGCGGGGCTTGTTTCTGACGCCTCTCATGCTCTGCAGTCTTCGAGATGATTTCCATGAGGTTCCCCAAGTCCACGTGCAGGGACGAAACCAAATAGTTGATATTCACGGCAAAGTTCGTCTTCTTCAAAGATGCAAGGTCGCGCAAGAGACTGAGCGTGTAGTAGGCGCGGATACTGAGGAATTTTTCCAGCAAATCCTTTCTGCCTGAAAACACTTTGCTGCTACCATTGACAAAGTCCAACCGGGCGGCGTGGAGTTCACTGACATCTGCAGCAAAGGAAATCCAAATCGGCGGGATGGACTGCTGCAACTCCGCGCAGATCTTGTGCAGCACTTGCATCGGCGTCGACTCAGCATTGATTTCTCGATCCCTGCCCAAGGAAGCTTTTGCACGGGTGAAGCCCTCATGGAATTCCAGCGGCAACGGGAGGACATCAGACACAAATCCGTCCATGCCAGAATCCAAGACAATCGGGAGATTGCTTCGAATGCGGGTCATTGCTTTTGCCTCATCAGTTTCGTCCTGCAGGCCGTTCCAATATCTTCAGTCTTCAGCTGATCTGAGTCTAAGGTTTCACCCCATTTCCAAAACAAGGGTGATAGCCTAACCACAAATATTACACAGCCACAACCCTCTCCTTGACATGCCCAATAGACATGGCCACTGGACCAGAAGCGTCCCCATCCAAGAAACTGGCAAAAGTAAGTCCCAAGGTCAAACCTGACTGGGCCACAGAAGAGCTTGACGATGCGCTAGACGCCGCAAGCTGACAAGCAGTACTGGCAAAAACTTCCAACTCATCACGGAAATTGGTGTACGTTCGTACAACTTTCCCATTCAAAGCCACTGCGCCTGTCCATGCAAATTCCATGAAGTAACTCATGGCGTGGGAGAACATGGTCCTGGCGTGCATGTCCCAGTCTGCCAGGGACTTCGCTGAGTCATCATGAATCTCCCCTTGGAACCGGCGAATGACCCCAAGCACTACAGACATAAAGTCATCCAGCGCAGTCTTCTGGCGACCATCTTGGCTGGAGCCTTCTATGGGATAAACCATTGGGCTCCATGGCTCTTCGGGGGTACTCCCAGCCTGTGGCGACATGTTGGCATCAGCATCCTTTCCTTTGCCCTTCCTTCCCTTCTTGGATTTTCCTTTCCCACTGCCTGTAGAAGTCTTGTCCTTGCCCAGGCCCTTGCCAATCTTGTTTTGCGTGTCTGCATCCAGCTTTTTGAACACGGCGCTGCTTGCCATTGGCGCAGTGAGCAAGCTCATGGTTGCCACCGTCTCACCTCCAGTCTTTGTGAAGACTTGTGGAATCAAACGCTCTCCGCCGCCAGAATGACGGGTAGGAACCTTGTGACTGACACAGGCAGGAAGGAGTGGAAGGTAAAGGCATTATAAGCATTGCTTCCTTCGAGTGATCCCAACCAAGTGATATTCTATAAATTCTGGCGTGCCATTCTATCTGTCTGGATTTCTATCGGACATTTAATATATCCTAATATTCCATCTTGCAAATTATAGCTGACATAGACATAAATTTTAGGATTCTATCTGGCATTTTACATTTCATCTGACATTCTATTTGACACATTTTTGGCATTCCCACTGACATATGGTCCAACTTTCCATCTGACATTCTACCTGATATATGTTTTGGCACTCCAACTGACATATGATACGGTTTTCCGTCTGTCATTCTATCTGACTTGTATTCTGACATTCTTTTTGGCAGTCTATCCGTCCGGCATTCTATCTGAGATAGATGGCATTCTATCTGACATGTTTTTGGCAGTCTATCTCGGATCATTGTTTGACATATGTCCTGACGTTCTATATGACGTTTCTTCCTGACATTCCATTAACATTTGTTCTGGCATTCTTTCTGGCATCTACCTTGAAGAGATCCTATCCGACTTTCTTTCGAACACGTGTTCGGGCCCGTCCGTGCCCCGGAGCTCCTTAATTATAGGCTTCGGGCTGATGGATGTCCAGATTGAGTTGGAGCTTGTGACAGGGTCCAGGTCTGTATGTGTTCAGACTGAGCTGGATTTCCGACTGAGCTACTTCACTTGCGCATTCCCATTGGTGCCCACAACGGTGATCAGCTGGCACAAGGAGCAACATGGTGGAGGAAGAAGGGAAGGAAGGACCGAAGGAAGGCAGAAGGAAAGTAAGAAGCTAGGAAGGGGCTGCACCTAGAGACCTAGAGACCTGCACCTGGCAAGAAGGAAAAAGAAAACAGCAGGGCGTTCAAGTACTGTCAAATTATAGTCAAAAATACAACATTTGACTGGTCACCTTGTTATTGCATTGTCAAAGCGATCAGGGACTTGTGCACTTGCTTGCCATCTGTCACGATCAGTCATTAGTGATTCCAAGATATTCCCAGCTCAGCTTAGCCGGTGTCCACTGTTTTCAGCAAACGGACACCGAAACAACAGGGTCGAGCATGACAATGGACTGCAATGCAAGAAAGAAGGAGCACGGAAGCCTGTGCAGCGGGCAGCTTTCCACTTGCAGGCAGGGAACGCAAAACTTGATGGCCTCAAACAACGTTGCACCAATGTACTCCTTCGGATAAAATTTGACCATGCCATTCACGATGACGACAACCAGCTGGTGCAGCATCATTATGATGTCCCTGCGCGACCGAGCCAGCAATCAGATTGCCCCCTAAACCAAGCTTGCTCTGTAAAAGTTTTTGACTATAGATTGATTGCTTAGTATGGACTCCATGGACATTTGCCAAGGTGCAGGCAGAAACTTTCGAAGTACCTGTTGAAACGCTTCAATGCTTGTGACTTGTGATGATCATGATTCTATGATGTCGTTTCCATGTTTCACCCCAAGGTTCTGAATCTCTCTCACCACAATCCCAAGCCCCCGTTCTGCCCTGGCCTGTTCACCAGCTTGAAATCCGCGAAATTCATCCGCTCGTTGCAAAAGCGACGGACTTCATCCTTGACCGCAAACTTGGTCAAGTAGTTGTTCAGGATGGTCGTCGACTTGAAAAAATTGAGGCTGCCACCCCAAGCAGTGGCCTGTTTCTCTTTGAAGAGGAACCTTTCCAAGCAGGTATCGTATTCTTTGTGCCGGGTTGTGAGCCCAGAGCCTCCCGGACCATTGTTTTTGGCGTCCCAAGCTTCCATCAACTCCTCCGCCTTGTCCAATAGGGCCAGCCAGGTCTCGCCGGTGCCTTCATGATATTGGTTGTGCATGGAACACAGCATTCGACGGACACTGTCTGGGGTATCAGGCCGAAGCATCCTGACTGATTCCAATCCGGTGCTCAAAGCCTTCTTGACATAGGGGCTCTCTGGGTCCCGGGTCAAAGCACGGTACATGGCCTCAGACCTGTGATTGAAGGTAATGGCATGGACCGGCAGGCTGTTGTTCTGCCCAAAGACCATCCATGCCCGTCCTTGGCCACAGGGCGGCACATATGTGATTGTGACTGTATAACTTGGCACACGTGGCCTCATTTGCCCTCTTGAACCCCCACCACATGGTCATCATCAAGGCATCGTCATCAGCACCAGCATCAGCCTCAACATCATCAGCATCATCAACATCATCGTCGTCATCATCATCATCATCATCAGTATCACCATCACCGTCATCACCATCATCATCATCATCACCATCATCAGTATCACCATCACCGTCATCACCATCATCATCATCATCATCATCATCATGATCGGTCCAAGAAAACCGTGTAATCTTCTTGTCAGCACCAAAAGCATCTCCACAAACAAACTACCGGCTACCGACCAAAACCAATAGCTGAGCGATGCGAGGTGTATCTAGAATCCAGGCTTCCAGCCAACTGTGCAATAATCAACAGGCTTGCCCGGCTCCGCGACACTAATGTACATATTGATTTTGATATAGATATATTGTATATGATATAGTATATGTATATATATATATGTAACATGTTTGAATGTATGCAACTTGATTTAGCCCCCATTTTAATAAAATTCTACTTTGGGAGTCCCTTTGTGAAGTGGATGGCATCCTTAAATAAGGTCGGCGGATGATGGGGGAACCGACCTGGAAGATAAACAACATCTTTCGACTCGATCCCCTCAAAGATATGCAAGATCAACCCCCAGTTCAAAACCCATTCGCGCGCAATTGCGCACCGAAAATTCAAACCAAGAATCCTGAACAGTCAACATTCAATCCCGAAGTGAGGATCCGGTCCGCATACGCTTCAGCCAGAGATTCCATGATTGGCCTGTTGGTGCTATCAGGCTTGATCGCACGCTCCTTCCCATTCAGCAGCCATGGAATGGTCGCGGTGCCGGCCCCGTACTTGCCAAACACTGCCTCGACCAAAAGATGCCCTTTCAGACCCTGAAATTCATCCAGGGGACCCTCATCCATGACACGTTGCCTTTTGGCAGCGGCATGGTCGGATGGTGTACCCACATCTACACCGTCCGTTCTCTTCATGCTGCTGATGGCAATCACAAATGATGAGAGGATGGTAGGACTGACAACTGACAAGTCGGATGACTGAGAAAGCTAAAAGCTGCTCTTGAGAAAATCAAGCCACAGCCACATACAAAACATGGCAAGTCGGCTGTCAGTAATTTACTGAATCAATGTTTCAGGGTCATTGATTGAGTTCAGGCATCCACCAGTTCTGACATGGTCAGAATGAGGAAACATCATCCAAGAAAATCGAACCAGAACACCAAAATTACATAGACTCGGCTTGGCACGGCAATGCGAAAAGGACAGATTGGTTTATCGAAATTGATTGTCTGGCCGAATCCGAATCCGTAAACCAGGGCTCCAACTCAAGCTGAGAAGCCACAAGTACGAGCCGAAGAGCCTGGCGATGATTGCAACAGCCAGTCACTTCATGAAGCTGCTGATGGGGCTGGTATATGTTTATGTCATGTCATATATATATATATATGTGTGTGTGTGTATATAATTATACATTATATATTAACGAAAATCCATCAGGAAGTGAAGGAGGAAATGCAATCAAGGATCAGGATAGATTGATTTCTCTTAGGCTCTGTAAACTTTGCATGGGATTTGGGATCGTTGATTGCCAATCGGCCAAACTGCTGCGCGTTTTTCTTTGCGTGTTGCTTTTGGCGTGTAATAGCCGGTCTTTTCAACTAAGTGCAACTCGTTTGTCTCCTTGTTGTCGACCACCCCGGTCGCTGGTCACACCCCTTGACTAGCACGGAAAGGAAAAGAAAAGCATTTTTTTTGCCTCAGAAGTCCTGAAATATTATTGCATGGGTTTCCTACCAGGTCTACGCATCATGGAGCAATAGGTGCAACCAACGACGTTGAAACTGAAATTGAGTCTGCGTCACAAAGAGCTGAGAGTTGCGATTTTCGATTGGAACAGAATGCGCCTAGCGCGCAAGCGCGCACACACACACACACGCAGGACATGCACACATCAGTAAATGCACCAGCACCAGAGTGCAACTATTGCAAACAGCCACAAGAATTCATGTGTGCGCGCGTCTGTGCACAGTGAAGAATGTAATGTGCTGGCGCACCTGTCTGTCCAACATACAGGCACAGCTACAGCAACAACATTCACTACAAATTTGACAGGGCTCAAAGGGCATGGGTTAAACAGCCCCCGCGACAAGATATACAATCAAACCCTGCTCTGATCACTGGTCACCGTCATAGTGACCTGTGATGTCCATTGCCACTGTTTACACTCATGCATTGGTCATGCAAAAGGAAACATTCCACAAGATTCATCGACATCAAGACCCCGATCGAGGATCGAGGATCAGGTCCACTGATGATCAAGGCAAATCGTCAGGTCGGTACACCCTGCTGAACATAGGACCCTGTTTCTCACCTTCAACAGGACGGGGTTGAGACTTTTGTCGGAGCCGTCTTTTGACCTGTGGCTGCTCATCATCGTCTTGTCCACCTGCAGAACGCCGGATGCGCCGGATGCTCCGTCGCATCGACGCTACTCCACTGATGGTCGGTCCAACACTCTGAACCTTGGTGTTGCAGGAGCACTTAGGAATGGTGAATGAAAGTGGGTGACGAATGACAACGCTGTTCAGCTCAGTCACATCCCTCACCTTGCCGCCTCCAATCATCACATCCCCATTCCAGAAACAAACAAGGGTATGAATACTACAGTTTACTATTTAGCCGACGAGGCCACACACACACATGCACGTCTGAACACTTCATGTGACCAATGGAGGCTTATAAGCGTTGAAAGTAAAACGCAGATGGCGCAGCTCTGCTTTTTGCAGCACTTAAAAGACACCCCCAATCTAAATCAGACAGTGAATAGCTGGCATATAGTCATGAAGTCGTTACCGCATCGCACCGCAAATCAACAGCTACATGGGTGTAGGTCGAGCCACGTTGAGGTAGAGAAGGAAATGCAACATATGAACCGTGATCACGAAAAGGTTCATTGAATTTCCTGCCTGCTGGCGCATTACCCGGGAGACGCGTCCCGAAGGCAAATCAACATGGAAGGGGCACCAGCGATATCCTTTCTTCAGGTGTAGAGCTGCATGAACTGGCCATGCCTGTGTCACCAGCAACTCGCTCCCGGTCAACCATCGACCTGATTCAGTCGCCGCGGCCTCATCGTCGATCATGTCGATAAAACCTATTCATGCCGGAAAATTTGGGCTTGCACCCCGCACTGGCAATGTCACATGAGCGCCCGCGAATGAATCGATAGACAGCAAAAGCACACAGTAGAATGGAGCACTCGGAAAACATGAATAACTTGCTCAGATTTCACCGGCTTCACACAAGTTCACACAATTCAAGCCCTGTGACCCTGATCCTGACACGTCATAGTGCCATGGCCCAAAAAATATATAATATATAGTTCGACACTACGTCAAAATTGTGTATGGAACGTTCCGCGGTGTTCCGGACGTATGGAACGAAGGGGCTTCGTAACTGGTCTTGTTCCGGACCTTTGGAATGTGATGAAATATAGGCTATACAAAAATAATAAACATAATATATATATATATATGTATACTGTATATATGTTATGTATATAATAAACATCTCACTATATGCATGTTGAAGCTACTCACACTGGCTGCCGCTCATTTTCACTTCTCATCTGCACGACATCCTTGTTGTACACCTGTTCAACGCAGGTTTGCCTTGCATGGCCAGTGCTTGTGCACTAGCTAGGACACAACCAGTAGCCAGCGTCACCCACTGGCTACCACGTGAAGGTATCCACTCAGCTTCAGACCTGTCACGCAGGTCCCACCTCCTACTCAGAGGTCCCTATATGGGGTAGATTGTGTCCCCGCGTAGCACCCTAGGCTCCCAGAACCCACGCGCAAAGGATGGCTTAGGAGGAGCCGGAGCCTATGTGAGAACCTGCCGTTTCTTCACCCGGGCTGGTACAAGGGTGGTCCGTGTCTTGGAACGGGTGTGGAACAAAACGGCCCACTCCACCGCAGCACTGCCATCAGGCAGCACATCTTTATCAAAACTGGCAGTTTGGAGCGAGAGTAGCGCAGCAAGCAATTCTTAGACTGCCAGCTGGCAGCAGCCAAGCACATCCCTATACCATCAAACATCACAGCTGTGCCTCTGCGCGCAGCAACTGTAAGTGGTGCAGGCGCAAACCTGCCACAGCTTGAGAGGGAGGGAGGGTTACAAGCAATCCATTCTTAGACTGCCAGCTGGCAGCAGCCAAGCACATCCCTACCATCACACAACAACGTAGGTAGCAGCTGTAAGTGCTGCAGGCACAGACTTGCCAACACAATCACAGGGCTTGGGCATAGTAAACGTATTCTTGCATGTATGCACTCATGTATGTATGTGCGTTCATGTATGTGCGTACACATGTCAAATCAGATTGTGTTCCCGGACCTTGTTCCGGACCTTATCATTTGACTTGCACCCATATAGGCTACAAATGGACAGCAGTTGCCCCGTCACAGCCCCGCCTGACCCTGATGAATGTGGAGGCTCCGCCCAAATAAACCCACAGTTGGCGATGACTGTGTGAAGGACGATCTCACTGGAGTGCATCGCATGAGCCGAGCTCCCGTTTTGGTTGAGTGACCATGCACAGCCCGGCCATTGGTTTCTGTACGCCTGGTGTGTGGTGTGTAGGCAGGCAAATAATGGAACATTATTGAATGCCACATTGATATGCAAAACTCAACAAGGTTAACATCTTTCAGCTTTCCGAGCTCTGCTTTCCACCCAGGAAAAAACAGAAACTTTGAACTGAACGAATTGCCATGCATAGTCAATAGATGTCACATGTCACGCAGTCCATAAGGTGTTTCTGCTGGCGAAGACAGGTCCAAACAAATTACGAAAACTGATGAAAGATACGGCTTTCAAGTGTCCCAGCCCCCCTCCGGCGTCGGGAGGAAGCAGCAAGAATTGCAAGCATACCAGCATGGGCATTGCATGGTGTCAAATACGCAAGTGTAGGTATAGACATGCAAACTTGAAAGGCTGACCGGGCCTCCAAAGATTTTCGTTCGAATGCTGACAAGGCCGCTTCATATTGTCCAGGCTTGGGTCCACCATCATCGGTGTCCTCGATCTGCTCAACTTGCTCAGACCGCTTCACCCATTCCAAGTGCATGAATGCCTTGACAGAAGGCCGTTGTTTGGCCCATGCGAAGTCTTTCTGAAGTTCGTCCTCCATGGTTCCGGAGAATTTGAGAAACAATTGCGATTTCCACCGAGAAAGGGACCCTGACAACACCAACATTAAGAAGCATCAGCATCAGAACAAAACGACGCTACTTATCCAAGAACATGTTACGTGCGGGCTAACGCATCCGAAAACCCAGCGCCTGGGCCTCTGGGATAAGGTGTTGCCAGTAATACTCTCTGAAAGTCATCTCACAGCTTCGGTAGAACCTGGCTGCGAAGTTATCGAAAGGAACTGGCACGCCACATTTGCCACGGTGCACCAAACGCGTGAGTTTGCGTTCACGTCGTGCTGGTTGCCCAAAGTCCGCAGCTTCGGCCACAGTCTCTTCGATGTGGTATAAGTGGCCCAGGAAACGTTGCAGCAACCATGATGGGAATCTTTTGGAATTCTCATGCAGGAGAATTGGCTCCTGCCATCGCCAAGCTTTAAAATCCCCAGGAGAGATGCGGTAGCCCAATAGTAGCAGGTGAAAGTATATATGCCCACTGCTAAGGCTAAGGCTGCCCAGGCTTTTTTTGCTACATGAACACCTTTGTGAACCTAGCAATCTATAGCACGCCAAACCAAGAACAAAAAATGGCAATGACTTGTCATGACTGATGGGCAAGCTTGATAGCTGACAGTCTTCATTTTGGGAAAAAGACGTGCCTGCAGAACCAAACGGTGACCGATCCAAACCAAGAATGGAAGGATCGTTGCATCTCGAATGCCCTGTTGCTTTCCACATGCTGCATATGCTGTACAAGATGTGCCAGCCACATGCAACAGGGCCATTGTCCTAAGAAGGGCCATGCAGCGAGAGGGCGAAGCTGGGGCAAGGGAAAGAAACAGGAAACGGGAAGTGAAACTTGCAAAACCGAACTGGAACCAAACAACATCTTATAGCATGTTGCGCTGTGACGCACTTAGTACTGCCAGCATTTTGCCCGGCCCTTTTTCCAGCCAAGCTGCATGTCGCAGTATTTGCCGTGTGCATAGCACCACCCCCGTGTTGTCACTGCTTCGCCATCTGCAACCATTTTGGATAGAATCTCCAAAGCTAGTTCAGGCTGCTCCTGCAGTTGCTTCACAACTTCCTGCAACTCCGGCCTGTAGAATCCGTTGAGGTCACCGAAGCAGCAGCAAGGATGACTGTCTTTGTGAAGGGATGGGTAGTGCAACAATTCTTTTCTGCAACATTCATCATATTCAACTTGGAAGACCATGCGAGGCGCTTTCACTGTAGCCTTGCTTCCGGAACCACTCGTCTCACGGCCTCGAATTTCTTGCACCCAATGATGGATGATGTTGAGGGTTGTCTCTGGGGCACCTATGCCGGAATAAGCAGTACTGATACTAAAGCTCTCCAATCGGCTTGCAAGTTCTCCTGAAGTGATCACGTCCTGGATTGAGTCGGGGTCCGTGACCTCTTCCACGGCACGCTCAAAGAAATCGAAGCACTCAGCCATGTTCTTCACAACCATCTTTTCCCGGGAGAGACCTCGTACTTCTGGATGGGCACCGGTCATAGTGTCCATCGTGGCCTTCTCTGACTCTGTCATGGGTTTGTCTCCGGCAGGAGCATCAGAACCAAAATAGGCTTCACCGCTATCACCGTCGCATTCCGTGGTTCTGGGGAACAAAGTGGCACCCATATAAACTTCTGGACCGGATACTGAAGGCTCTGCAATCCCACTGGTGTCCGCATTCCTGGTATCATCACACTTGGGCATGCTGCATGCATGACCTGACTCCCTGGCTGCTGCTGGGCATGTGGTGTTCGTGAGCGCTCTGTCAAAGTTTTCCAAGACTGGGCGATGTCTGCAATATGGAGACCGGAGTGGTGATCATCTTCGCAGGCAGGTTGGGCCTGGCAGGATATGGCCGGCAGGGGGTCGCGGTCACAGGAGGCTTCAAAGCGCCAAACGGCAACCAAACGTAGTACCGTAATACTATATACCATAGCCACTGCAAGTCAAACACGTAAAGGAACACCGGAACACCTGAAAATCAGACGCCTTCTGCCATTGATTGACATTGATTCCTGGAAATTCGCATGTTCCACCCCCCACTAACCCTCTTGCAACAAGCCCGCCTCAGCTGGCTTTGATGATATGAATCTCTTCGCTTCGGCGCCATGCAAAGCTGCTGAAGCGTCAGCAAACGTCGACTCCTCATTGACAGATTCGGCCAGCTCCGGGTAGGTCTCCAGGATTGTCCGAGCAAGAGCCACTGTCAAATCAGTATGCACTGAACACTTGTCGTCCTCATCAGGGATCTCATCATGATGCTGAGAGAAATCAAAGCGATCCATCACATTAGTGGCTAAGCCATGGTTCTCCATGTCAGCAAGAAAAGCGGTCTTTGCCAACTGAATGTCCACTTGCTGTGGCCCACCCATGGCCCTGGATGGAGTTGGAGCAGTTGAGATGGCCGATGATGATGCCCTTGCTCCGGATGATTCCTGCGGCTCCTGATGCTTCACATCGACCTCTGACGTTCGCGTTGCTGTCCAGGGACGACTGCAATCAATGTCTTCAAAGACATCAGCAAATTTGAAGTTGATCCAAATCTCCTTGAGTTGGGCGTGTCTCTTGTCAAATGCTTATTGTTGCTAATTAACTGTCCTGGATTTTGGCTTTGATGAGAAAAAATGAGGAAAATGTGGGAAGCTGAAAGAAAAATGATACGTTTGTTTTTTTTGGAACCCCTGTGCCAAACAATCAACCGAAGCAAGCAGCGCCAACCCTGTCTGCCTGTCCTCACCCTGGCGTGGAACTAAATAGAGTGGGGGATCGTACACCTCCTTGATGATCAGCTCCCACAACTGACAGCCGCCCTTGTCAACCCAGCCTTTCTTAACGGCATCATATTCTTCACGGGTAACTCTGTGCTTTGCGAAATGTTTCATGAAATCACCGTGGGGCACAAAAGTGTTTCCACGAAATTCCGCTCTGGCAGCAATGCGGAAAACCCCTTTCTTCTCACTATTTTTGATTCCGGACTCCACTAAATAAATTTGCCCACCAGCCTTGACCACACGGCAACTTGTGTTGCGGACTTCGTGCGTCTTTCTGGTCACAACAGGGGCTAAGAACTTCGAAATGTGGGTGGAATTGATGAGCAAACCTCGGCAATCTCCACCTTTCGACCGTGGCGCTGGCGATCTGGCAGCTGGTGGGTCACCAGCAACAGACGTGCCCCGTTTCTTCGTCATCTCCTTGAATGTCTCCGAATTCAGAAATTCGCGACTTAAGACCTCTAAACCCTAAGAGTCCTTGAGCCTATAGCGGAGCCATCGCAAGCTTCGCCAAATTCTGCTAAACATGCTTGGCCAGCTGCTTGCTTGTTGAAACATACAGTGTGTAATTACTTCACAACATGCACTGGCACTTGAAAAGCAAGTTGGCTACAGCTCTTCAAATCTTCATTTTAATGATCACAACTGCCAAATTACCACGCGGGCTGCATGCACATATGCAAACAAAAAAGGAAACCACAAAGCCAATTGCAAGGTGTAACTTGTTCACGGACAATGACGTCAAGAGGCTCTTGGCAGCCCTTTGTTGGCGGGAAGGCCCTCCTGGCAGCATTTGGCTGCCAGGAAGCAGCTTCCTGGCACTGTTGTCGCTGCCAGGACCCCTCTTCCTGGCAGCCACCCCTGCCAAGAACCAGCCTCCTGTCACACACCCCCCTGCCAGGAACCAGCCTCCTGGCACACAAAGGGCGCTGAGAAGCCCCTCCTGGCATGATAGGCTGCGAGGAAGGGCTTTCCGGCACCAATTTTCTTCACATTTCGAAATTCGAAACCAAATATGTTTTTGGTGGAAAACATGGATTTCTATTGCGCTTTTGGTGAATTTTTCCACGACAATGTGTATGGAGTCTCTGTGTCTCTGTGGGTTTCCATGGGCTAACTCGAGAGTGGCAGGATTGGATAAGCTGGCTGGCAGCCTTCCTGCAAATTCAAAATCAAAACTGAAAAGAAGCAGCAACACTACAAACATCTTGTTTGTTTTCCACGACACGCTCGCAGACTATACAAAATTGTGAAACGGACACTATAGCGGTAGCTATACCAAAGTCAGTCATCGGCATGTCCAGCCTGTCTAGCAGTTCACCAAACATGAAGGCACCATCAGTGATCCCTCACCTCACCGCCTCCAAGCGGCCATAGCAACTAGCAACATTCATTCAAGTGTTTCAGGTGTTGGTTGAAGAGGAGCTCAACCCAGACTCACTGGCACTGTCACTAGACTCACTGGTGTTCTCCAGAGCCATCTCTGCCCTCTCCCTTTCCCTCAGCTGCTCAATCAATGGGAGATCAGCATAACCCCAGTGTGAAGAAGACGTGTCTGAGCAATCTGAGCAGCCGGAAATCTCAGAAATGCCAGAAATCACAGAAGGGCTGTAATCGTCGTCACTGTCACTTCTATCGCTGTTGCTGAGACTCAGGTCCAAGTCTGCATTCTCTGGCCCAAGCGGAACCCTGCAAGAGCAGCACGATTGACACCCCCGGCACACTGTGCAGCTTCGCCAAATGCCCGCTGCAACACATTCGCAGCTTTGCTGCAATTCAGGTTCAGAGTCAGATATACAAATCACTTCCCGCACTTCAACATCAGAATCGTCACCAGAAGAGGCCACGGAGGAGGACTCGGAGGACAAGGATATGGTCAATGGCATCAGGTTTTCATTGCCAATGGCATCATCGTCCGGCCATGCTGAAGAAAAGGATACGTATGTAAAATGTTGTTTTTTTGCGTCCAGGTCTCAGAGGCCAAAAAGGTTCAAATTAAGGGATCAAAGCAGATCAAATAATACTATTGAAAACCAATTTGCTGACTCTTGTTCTTGTAGACTGACAAGCCAACTTGAGCCAGATGTTTCCGCAAGTTTCTCATGTTTTCATTCCACTGTCCATTGGACTGTCCATGGTTGAGTTGCGAATGTACATATCATTATCATGAAATACAGGAGATGGCACCGCTACCGATGTACAGGGACCAGATTGATGCCCATGCAGCATGCAGCGTGGAGCATGCAAACAACTGACTGGCAAAGTGGTAAAATTCATGTGATCTCCACAAAAGCCTGAAGGATGCAAGGCACATCCACGTGTTCCATTGCCATGTTGAAACCAATGACGAAGGGAAAACATGGCCAAATATACTCGAATACTGAATGAAACATTTCTTTCTTCGAGTGATCCCCACCGACAGTCTGCCTGACACATAGAACTGTAATATATATATAAACAAATACATATATATATATGAACAAATATATATATATACAAACAAATATATATATATAGATATATATATATAACAAATATATATATATATAAACAAATATATATATATATAACAAATATATATATATAAACAGATATATATATATATTATATAAACAGATATAGAAATAATTTACTGACATTCTATCTGGCATTCAAAATAAAATATCTTCTGACAGTCTAACATCTACGGCATCAATTCTGACATCTTATCTTATCTGGCATTTTACCTGGCAATCTATTTAACTGGCTTTGCAGTGCATCTGGTTATTTGAATTTGACATGTCATGTCCTCTGGCTTTCCGTTCTTTCTGGCATTCTATCTGTCTGACATATGTCTTGCTGCCTTTCTATTTGCTGCCATTCTAGTTGACATATATTCTGACATCTTACCTGGCATTCTACCTGACATATGTTCTGACATTCTATCCGGCATTCTATCTCAGACAAAATTTTGACGTTCTATCTGGCATTCTTTCTGGCAATCTATTTGGCATCTATTTTGGCATTATTTCTGGCATGTATTCTGGCATCCTATCTAACATTCTTTCTGGCATGTGTTTGGCCCTGCGCGTGCCCAGACTGAGCGCCATGAGCCATGAGCTTCTGACGAGAGATTACTTCACTAGCTGGCCCCCCGACAGTGGAGGAAGAAGGGATGGGAAGGGAATGGAAAGAAAGGGAGGGCAAGGGAAGGGAAGGGAAGGGAAGGGAAGGGAAGGGGTGTGAAGGGAGGGGAAGGGAAGTGGAAGGAAGGGAAGGCAAGGGGAGGGGAGGGGAGGGGAGGGAGGGGAGGGGAGGGGAGGGGGAGGGAGGCAGGGCAGGTGCTAGTGGAGGAAGCGGGGAGGGGAGGGTGAGTGAGGGGGAGGAGGAAGGGATGAAGAATGGAAGGTATAAGAATGGAAGAATGGAAGAATGGAAGAATGGATAAGAATGAAGAAGGGAGAAGAGAAGAAGGAAGAATGGCATTAGAAGGGAAGAAGGGAAGAAGGGAAGAAGGGAAGCAGGAAAGAAGTAAAGGAAAGGGAAGAAGGGAAGAAGGGAAGAAGGGAAGAAGGGAAGACGGGAAGAATGGAAGAAGGGAAGAAGGGAAGAAGGGAAGAAGGGAAGACGGGAAGAAGGGAAGAAGGGAAGAAGGGGAGAAGGGAAGAAGGGAAGAAGGGAAGAAGGGAAGAAGGGAAGGAAGAAGTAAAGGAAAGGGAAGGCATGGGAGGGGAAGGGGAAGGGAAGGAGTTGCACCCTTGTCCAAAATCTAGAGACCGTCACCTGGCAGGTCCGCTACAACAGCGAGATCCACCCCCGCGCCTTCTCATTCTTTCATGTTCAACTCAGGGACCAAGACTCATGGCTCCTGGTGGCCAAAACAAACATTTCCAGCACTGTAGACCAGAAGTTTTGAACACCTGCAGTGTGTGCATATGTTTGTGTGTGTGTGTTGTGTGTGTGTGCATCTGTGTGCGCTGCAAAGACCATGACGGCCTGTAGCCCAAATAAAAGCGAAACGCGGGCAAACGAGAGAGAGAGAGAGAAAGTCAAGCCTGAAAGAGCCTGGAACACCAAACGGTTAGATGGCAAAGTATCACCAGAATATAAAATGTCAGCATTGCGTCAATATGGATCAATATGCTTCAACATCCACTATCTTTCCCAGTCCGAACATAGAAATTGGATTTCAGCGTTCTATTCCAAAGTGACCGGCTTCAAAAGCAAAAAATGCTGCCAGAACCAATCGCTCGGAGTCCTGGGAGTCCTGCATTGCTCTCCATGCTTCCTCCTGGCCGGGACAAGTGGCCATTTCCAACGGCCAGCAGCCAACACAGCAAAACATGACAAATTCATATTCATAGTGACTGATACTTATATACATACTGTTTTTATATATATATATATATATACAATTTGCTTGTAAAAATAATATATATATATATATATGAAGCGGGCTAACTCAAGCAAACTAAGCAAGCTGGGTTTGTTTGATTGGGCGTCGATGCTGGTTCTGGGAGTTGGATCCACTTTGAAGTCAGTCAGCATACTGATGTGATGTGACCGGAACAGCGGGTATGGGCATTGATATATTAGGGAAAGCGATGACAGTGGTAAGCACATCAATTATCGAAACAGCAAGGATTGACTAAAGCATTTGGTCGATCGGATTGCCCTGCTGTGAACACCTGCCAAAAAACAACTTCAACAAAAAGAAAAGATCAGCCACAGGTGGCAACTGAATCTAAGTCCCTTGATGGTGTTAAAGACTGTGGTGGGATGGATGCAAGTAATCAGCATTTCTCATGTTATCTGATTTCAAGTCTGATTTCTAATATTGATGATGGTCATAGTTGAGCCCGCTTCTTGTCATGATGTATAGTGACATAATGCACGGACCAAGTTCCAATGTCTCCAAACTGCAACAACCCTCGAAATCAACAGGCCTTTCAGATATCCGATATTACCCCGCATGTTCCCCCTGTCTGGCCCCTGTCTACCTTAGCCACACGTTCCCCAGTTCAGTCTACCTTAGTTCCATGATTGGTCCCGTTTTCTTGCACCATGTGGGGCGAGCATCAAAAACAAATAAGGCGCTCAGCCACGGCATTTCTCTACAACCGTGAATTTCGATCTCAGAATGCCCAAACCCTTAAATGTTGTTTGACTAATCATGACCATGACTCCATGACTCCATGGCTCCATAACGGCTGCCGTCCTGCCAGGACCCCATCATTCAATCTAGAAGGGACGGTGTTGTCGATGTCGTCAGCACTGCACTCCTGCCCCAAGATTCAGCAGGCTGATGCTGATATGAAAAGACTTCCAATCCTCCTATGTCCAAATGCCTAAATATGGTAGCCTACCCACAGCATAGTGGGGTGTGTTATTGCTTTCACCATGGTTTGAGATTCATGAAAGAAGCTGTCAGGGTCAGA